GGGGCCAGCTCAGCCCACCAGGGGGCAGGGCTGACTGGCATGTGGTGCTGGGGGATCAAACCGTGGTCCCTGTGCTTTGCCAAGCTTGTTCCAAGTAGGTGCTTTAGACCACTGAGCCATCTCTCCAGCCCCCGCACCCTTTTCTTCAGCAGTGGCTGCTAGGGCAATGCCGGAGATACAGCAGCACCCAGCATGCCTGCCTGCTAGGGGAGGAGACACCCCTATCGCCCACAGCAAAGACACAAAGTCTTCAGGGATTGGGGAACTCAGGAAACGAGAAAGCCCCTTCTCCTGGGATGCAAAGGTAAGAAATACAAAGCTAAGACCCTCTAGGGCAAGGGAGGAAGCAGAAGGTAAAATGCGAAGTAAATATTTAGAATCCTGCCTAACAAAGCTTGCTGTCCCTTCCAGGTAATACAGTACATTCTTAGCAACTGACACTGGCCATGGAAGTGCAAGCGCAGGTCCCGGGGTTTACACTTGAGATCTTGCTCTCGCTTCTCAATAACCCCGAACAGGGAGTGGAATAGGAGTTACGAGGCTGGAGTACCACAGTTAAAAGCAAAGGAGTGGAGTGAATCACCCTCTTCTCTCCACCACACCACCCTAGTGATGATCCCTGCTGCCCTAATCCTAAAACAGGGAAGTTGTGTCAGCCACTTCTCATTTCTCCTTCAACCATAAACGCAACACTACCCTAATCATTACCCAGGTTTAAGTTCTGAAGGTCACAAGGCCAGAAGTGGCAGGTCGACACCAGTGAGAGAGGCAGTGGGAGGCACCTTGGATCAGAGGTGTCTGACACTGTAAATACTGTAAGTCTGAATTATCGCCAGGGAGATGGCTCGGTAGAATAAGCACTTGCCTGGCATGTGCAAGGGTCTGAGCTCAATCCCCGGTTACGAAAAAAAAAAAAAATCAAAAAATCAAATCTGAATTATCAAGTCTCTTTCTTCTCCTCTGTCCTTCTGCCTTCCCGGCTAGAGCTGAATCGTCAATAAATAAAGCTACTTACTATACACTAGGGGGTGTGTGGCTTGGCAATTTTTTCCTACACAAGAACCTGGACTAGGGGCCGGGGAGATGGCTCAGTGGAATAAGCGCTTCCCTGGCAAGCGCAAGGGCCTGAGTTCAATCCCCGGTTCCGCAAAATAAAATAATAAATAAATAAAAATAAAAGCTCATAAAGCGGAGTCATGAAGGACCACTTCGGGAACACGAATGCGCGCTAAGCTAGGCCGTCCCAAAGCCTGGAGAGGGAGCCCTGAGAACTGTCACAGAAGAAACGTAAATGCACAAAATTTTAACTGTGACCCCGAGACTTTACGGAGGAAAGGGTGGCGTTAAGAGGTGCCTGAAACACGGTATCGGGTGAGGGTCCTTCTCGGCGAGTACGGACCCTTTCGCGCGTCGCAGTGGCTGGAAAAGCTCAAGAAACAGGGAATGAAAAAGACCACAGGTATTTGCAGGTCGAAGCGGTCAAGATGGCAAGGAAGTTCAGGTAATTCGAAAAGCCAGTTAATTAGAGCAATGGGCAATAAAGAGAACTCCGGGCAAACGCAGATGTTAAGTAACAAAGTTCAGGAACTTCAGAGGATACAGTAGCATCCCTATTGGAGAAAACAAACGAGGTGGAGGTCGGTGAATACGGTGGCCAGGTTGGTCCCTTTGTAACCGGAAGTGGCTCTTCCGAAGGCGTGGCCGAAGGGTTTAGCCAGATACGGTGGCCCAGTGGCTTGGGTAGGAGTGAAATCTCGCGTGATTGTGCTGGCGCTGTCGGGGGACGGGGCGGGGCTGGCGGCGGGGGCGGGGACCCGGAGCGGGAAGATGGCGGCGGCGCAGGAGGCGGACGGGACCGGCAGCGCCGTGGTGGCGGCCGGGGGCGGCAGCTCCGGTCAGGTACAGAGGTCGAGAGGGACCTGAGGGGGCTCTTCCGCAGGTGGGGGGTCTCCCACGGAGCGTGTCTTGCCTCTCTAATCGGACTGCGGTGCACTGGGGTCTCCTTGCCCAGAGGGACCTTGAATATCGGGCCCAGACGAGGCCGGGCCGCCCAGGAGCTCGGACCGTCCGGTGGCGGGAACCGTCCCTGTTGCGCGTCCGGTCCTCTGCACCTTCGTGCCGGGCGGGCACCAGGCTCAGTGCTCGAGCCAGGCAGAGAGTGGCGTGGAGGGGCGCAGACTTGTCTGCAGTCGTCCTGGGTTCTCGACTCTGTGATTCCAGGCTCCGAGACCACTCTTAGAGTGGTCAGGCGTTCAGGCTCTCGCAGCGTCTGAGATGTGGGTGCCGCTTTACTGCGAGCTTTCTCGCAGGATAAATAAGGTGATCATCATGGGTGAGGGCTCGGACTGTGGAGGCCGATGGACCCATTTTACAGACAGGAATCCGAGTAACTGTGAGACTAAGGTGCTTGCGGAAGTCACCCGGGATAAGTTTGGCATCCATTCATTCCTTATAGAAGCTGACCCAGGTTGATCCGGACTGGCATGGGTAATGAGTGCTTTTAGCATAAACTGCGTTTTTAAGGGACCTGAACCTGAGAGAGATGACTTTGGACCCATTGCTACTTAAAGGAAACTGAGACCGCAGGACTCACCAGTTCAGCCTGCCAGGCACTATTGAGGCATCAGAGGAGTAGATGGAGTGACAGCAAGGTGCTGTCGACCCACCCACTAGGATGTCACTTATGTGGGAAGCAGCTCAGGGGAGAAGAGTGCAGGTTGGGAGGGGAGAGTGAAGCCGACTCTGCTACCTTGGCCAGGTTCCTTTCCCTCTTTGGGGCTTCATTTCTCCAGTGGCTAGAGAGTTGGACAGCAAGGCCAGCCCTGTCTGTGATGGGCCAGAAAACTGGTTGCAGCCATGTCCCTGCTGCCAGGGGAGTGGTAGGACCCTCCATGTAGACAGTTATAATCTTGATGAATAGAATGGTGACAAGTCTGCGAGGAACTGGGGGAATCCCAAGATGGGACAAATATGTAGGGAAGGACACTAGGAGACCAAAAGTTTGGATGATGGAGCCAACACACCTGGACGGAGTGTTTCCAGCCCTTCCAGCGAGGACTTGGTCTGCGGTGCAGCAGCTCAGGAAATGCTTGTTGAGTGTGTGCTGGAAGGAAGATGAAGGCCCAGCCTTCAGAAGCTTCCAGTCTTTCGGAGAGGAAGGTCTTTTCTCCTCTAAGTTCACATTGATTATTGGGGGTGGGGTAGCTCAAGAGACCGTGGTTCAAATTGCTCTTATTGGGGCCAGGGAGGTAGCTCAGTGGAATAAGCGCTTCCTTGGCAAGCACATGGGCCTGAGTTCAATTCCTGGTTCTGAAAAATTCAAAAAAAAAAAAAAAAAAAAGACAAATTGCTCTTATTACCTTGAGCTTCCAGGTGCATCCAGGCCCTCCTTCCCCTTTTGATACAGGGCTTTGCGTTTGTAGCCCTGGCTGGCCTCAAACTTGTGGTATTTCTAGAGCCAGTGAGATAGCTCAGCAGTCTAAGCGCTTGCTTAGGCAAGTGCAGGGGTCAGGGTTCGATCCCTGGCACCACATGCCATGCTGGCCCTGCCCTGGGGCGCTGAGCTGGTGATGGAATCTGGGCGTGGTGGTGCACACCTGTGATCCAGCACTAGGGATGCTGAAAACAGGAGGATCACTGTGAGTCTGAGCTGCACAGTGAGACCCTGTATATACACAGAAAAAAAATAACTCGTGATATTCCTGCCTCAGCCTTCCAAGCGCTGGGCCTGGGTCCTTCCTTGTCTTTCTTTCTTCTTTTTTTTTTTTTGTGGAACTGGGAATTGAACTCAGGCTCTTGTGCTTGCCAGGGAAGCGCTTATTCCACTGAGCCATCTCCCCAGCCCTCCTTGTCCTTCTGAGGTCGTAATGCTCATCCCTTTGGCTTTACGTTAAGAGCTTATTTCTTTATTTAGGGCAGGTCCAGGCCTCACACAATCTGACTCTTCTTCAGACTAGACTAGGATGTCTCCCTCCTTTTTTTTTCTTGATCTTTTTGAGACAGGGTCTTACTATGCAGCTCAGGTTGACCTTGAACTCACTTTGTAGCCCAGGCTGGTAAGGATTCTCCTGCTTCAGCCTCCTGAGTGCTGGGATTACAGGCGTGTGCCACCGTGCCTGGCCTTTTGTTTTTGTTGGGGGGGGGCAAGATTTCATAGTGTATTTCAGGCTGGTCTTGAATTCACTATGTAGCCCAGGTTGACATAAATCTTGTGGCAGTCCTCCTCCCTCAGCAACCTCCTGTGTGCTGAGGTTGTAGGCGTATGTCACCATACCTGGTTTAGACCAGCATTAGTCTAGGCCATCACCATTGACATTTTTGGATTGGATAGTTCTTCTTTGCGGGGGCTGGCCTATGTGCCTTGGGATGTTTAGCAACATTGTGATCTCTCTGCAGAAGATGTCAGAAGCATACATCCCCATGCTGAGTTGTGACGACCAAAAATGTCTCCAGATGTTGCCAAACGCCCTGGGGACACAATCACCGAAGCTTGAGCACTCCTGGATTCGAGGAGGATTAGCCATGCCAAAGTCTCATTCCCAGGAGCATCTCAGATCCATTTCCTGAGCCCTTTGCCCAGTGTCTGCTCTACCTGGCTGCTTCTTCTTGGGTCCTCCGGATCTCAGATGTCTTCTCCCCAAATAAGCAGGCAAATAAGCAGGCAGTGCATAGCTTGAGCTGCAAGCCGGCTTTGTCCAGGCTTTCGTGGTCCTGTGGTCCCAGCTGCTTCCTCAGCCCCTGAAGGCTGTTGCTGGGGTTTATATGAGATGGGACAGACAGATCAAGAGCAGGGGCTTTGTCTGCACTGCTTTGGCCTTCACTCCCACCATTGTTCCCTAGACCAGGGGCTTGTCTCCTTGGGCAGACCTTTCCCAGTCTCATGCCACAGCCAGCCTGCTCTTTTAGGAGGGAGCCCAGACATGGAGTCCCAGCTCCACCATTTCTGTCTTGGTGGATTATGTCGGTATTGCATGCTGGAAGCCCTGCCTTCTGGGAACTCAAGTTCCATTTGGGCACTTCCGATAGGGGAAAGACATAGACAGGGACACATAGTGCAAGGGAAAGAAGAAAAATGTACAGCTTCTCAGATGGCAGTAAGTGTTGTGGACAAAAATAGAGCTGGGCTGGGGATAGGAAGTGAGTGCGGGTTAAATGTGATGGTTGGAGGAGGCTTCTCTGAAAAGGTGAGTTTGACTGAAGACCTGAAGGAGGGAGTCACGAAGGTAGGTGAGGGAATAGCCTTTCAGGTAATGTGAGCAGCAAGTGCAAAGGCCCTGAGGTGGAAGGTGCTGGAAAGAAAAGAGGGTAGAGGGAGAGCTTGGCCTCTACTCTGCAGGTCAGGGGAGCAGCCTCTGGTAACTCTTGACGGAGGTGGCTTAGATACAGTGGATGGAGGGCAGTGGCTTTTGTTCCTTTGTGGTTCAGTGGACCCAGGGTTGCAGTTCAGTTTGAGTTGACCGCTGTCCCTCGGTGTCCGGGGCCGGGGGCTGGTCCCAGGACTCACCTCCCGTAGCAGATCTTGGATGCTCCAGTCCTTTATATGAAACAGTGTAGTGCCCAGTGGGGGAGGTGCAGATCTGATTCCAGCACAGGTTGGGAGGGGGGTGCTGAGGCAGGAAGATCCAGGCTACAGCGTGAGGGCCAGCCAGGCTACAGAGTGACACCTGTTTCACACAAAGAAAGGGAAAGACTGGGCGTGGTGGCACATGCCTGTAATCCCAGGGCTTGGGAGGCTGAAAATAGGAGGATCACTACGAGTCTGATCTGTGTAGTGAGACCCTATAGAGCTTGTACTAAATACATTAAAAAAAAAAAAAAAAAAAGAAGGAAACAAAGAGAAGCCTAAATGGGGGGGGGCATTTGCATATGAACTGCACAGAAGCCATATCTGGGTGACTTTGTCCTAGAGTGTTGCAGTTGTCTCTTTTTCTGAATCTTTACTGTCCTCAATGGGTTGAATCCTGGATGCAGAATCTGCAGATATAGGGGTGATGGGGGCTTTCATCACTTCAGAACATTCCCATTTTGCGTTTATTATTATTATTATTCCTTTTGCGTTTATTTATTTTAATGTATTTGGTACAGGGTCTCACTATGCAGTTGTAGTGATCCTCCTGTTTTCAGCTTCCCCAGCACTGGGATTACAGGCATGCACCACCACTCCCAGACTCTGGCCGGTTCAGAGTGCCGCGGGGGTGGGACCAGCGCACCATGTGGTGCATGGGATCAAACCCCAGTCTCTGCACTTGCGTAAACAGGCACTTGGTCTGCTGAGCTCTCTTGCCAGCCCTTGTTTGTTTTGACACAGGGTCTCACTGTGTATCTCAGGCTGGCCTGGAATTTATGGAGGTCCTCCTGCCTCAGTCTCTTTGCTGCTGGGATTGTAGCTGTTGTTGGCTCTAGCATGTAGTGCTCCACATTCATTTTTGTAGTCACTGTCTGCTCCCAGGCTGGGGCAACGCTGAAGAACTTTGTGTTTCTATGGTTTCTTTCTTGCTTTTTGGGGCTGGGGAGATAGCTCAGTGGAATAAGCACTTCCCTGGCAAGCATGAGGGCCTGAGTTCAATCCTTGGTACCACAAAAAACAAAAACAAAACAAAAAAAACTTTCTTGCTTTTTTTGGGGGGAGGGGGTGCTGGGAATTGAACTAAGGCCTTGTGCTTGCCAGGCAGGTGCTGTACCAGTGAGCTACATCTTTGGTCCTCTGTAGTTTCTAAAAATTAAGGCAATTTAAGTTGTATCTGACTTCTGTCACTGGGGAGGATGGTTTGGCGATATGTGCTGTTACATGGATCAGCATTTGTTAATTTGTTTTTTGTGACATTGGGGATTGAATGCAGGACCTTCACAGTGAGCTACATCCCCAGCCTTTTTAACTTTTTTTTTTTTTTAAGAGTCTTGCTAAGTAGCCCAGGCTGGCCTAGAACTAACAGCACTCTTCCTGCCTCAGCCTCCCGAGTGCTGGGATTACAGGCATCGGCCACCACAGCCAGTCTGCTTTCTTTTTTGGAAATAGTCTTGCTATGTAGTTCAGGCTGGCTTTGTAGTGCAGCGTGACCTGGACTTGCAGTGATCCTCCGGCTTCAGCCTCCTGAGTGCTGGGATTACCAGTGTGTTCTACCATGTTTGGTGTGCTTGTTGCATTTTATTGCTGAGCAGTGTTATGAAGCCACATCACAGTTTGTTCATTCAATTATTGAAAAGCCTTGGTTTGTTTATAGTTTGGGGCTGTTACAAATAATACTACCGTAAAAGTTCGTGTACGAGCTTGTGTGCAGACATATGTCCTCCTATGTCTTGGATTGCTGCCCAGACTGGGTTCTCTAGTTTGTATAGTAGCTGCAGGTGTAGCCTGGTAAGTCACTGCCCTGGGTTCCAAAGCAGCTGTACCATTCTGGATTCCTGTGTTCCTCCTAATGTATACTGGAGACTGAATGCAAAGCCTTTGCACTTTGGTAAATCCCCAGCACCCTCCACCCTCTTTGGGACAGAGGGGCTCAGAATCTCCTGCTCAGTACTACAGCCTGAGATGGAGTCGGTAAACACACGGGGGCAGGGACCACAACTCACTGGAGTGGGTGCTCCACCCCCTTTTAAATTTTTTATTTTGAAACAGAATCTTGTTAAGTCATGAAGTCGTCCAAGCAGGGCTTGAACTTGTGATCCTCCTGCCTCAACCTTCCAGAATGCGGGATTTGAGGTTTGCTTTGCCACACCTGTTACTGCCAGTGCTTTTGATTAGGGACCTGCAGGCCTCTTGTTGTGGTTTTATTTATTTATTTTATTTTTTTGGCGGAACCGGGGATTGAACTCAGGCCTTTGGCACTTGCCAGGGAAGTGCTTATTCCACTGAGCCATCTCCCCGACCCTCTCGTGGTTTTAGTCCGTGTGTGGGACATTCCCTGCTAGGTTATCCATTGCTGTGGATAAAAGTGAGACCTGGGAAATAGCCAGTATGTGTTCAAGTCCTGGTCCTGCCCCAGCTCTGTTTCCAACCCTTAGTCAACTCAGATGCTCTGCAGACCGGAATGTGGTGCCCTTGCTCCCTGAGCCACGCCAGGCCTGAGGGGGCCCTGTGTCTCTGTGGCCTCACTATCCTGTACACCCCTCCCTGCTCTAAGACCTCCTTCCTGGTGTTGCCAGGCTGAGGGTTCCACCCACATGTCAAAGGCAGCTCGTCAGGGGGCCTCCCTGACACCTGGTCAATAGTGGCTGTCTGCTAGCTATCACTTCTGTTTTTTGTTTTTTTGTTTTTTTTTTTTTTTTGCGGAACTGGGGATTGAACTCAGGCCCTTGCGCTTGCCAAGGAAGCGCTTATTCCACTGAGCCATCTCCCTGGCCCCAAGCTATCACTTCTGCTGCCTGTTTTTCCAGGGCATGTTTGCTTTCATTTATTTATTTATTTATTTTTCCATAATTTTATTGAGAAACAAATAGCAGTGAGACAGTTTCAAACCAAATTGGTAGGACAGTTTCAATAATTAACACATTACATACATTCTTCCTAGTGGTTAATTGCGGTACAAGATGCGGACATGATATCCTATTTACAAACACCATTAGAACAAAACCCTCTATTCATTAAGAGAATGTAACTATATATCTATCCTAACCACTTTGAATACAGATATAAAATGGACATTCATCTGTATCACCCTTTTTTGTTAAGTTCCATCATTTAAATATTATAGGTGTGTAAACTCAGCAAAATATTCTAAAAGAGTCCAGTAGCCCATAATAGTATTGGGTCTTCCGCTTCACTGGCAATGTCAGAAATTGTTGACCTGAGTCCCCTACAGCTAAACATAACAGCATGGTTTTACTTCTTATACTTCGTTTTTATACTTTTCTGCTGGATAGTTAAGACCAAGGTAAAGCAGGATCTATGCAACATCTTTTCTTTTTTTAAAAAAATGGCAGAAGGGGGGCCGGGGAGATAGCTCAGTAGAATAAGTCCTTGCCTGGCAAGCACAAGGTCCTGAGTTCAATCCCCGGTTCCGCAAAGAGAAAAAAAAAAATGGCAGAAGGAATTTTTTTATTTTTATTTTTATTTTTGGCTCCGAATGCCTTTAGGGCAGGTTTTGCTGGCTTGAGTTCTGGGGATCAAACCACAGCAACCTGAGCCTGACTGCAGGGCATGTTTTCAACATTTTTATTTAGTGTGTGTGTGTGGCCAGCTCAGCCCACCAGGGGGCGGGGCTGGCTGGCATGTGGTGCTGGGGGTTTGAACTGCGGTCCCTGTGCTTTGCCAAGCTTGTTCCAAGTAGGTGCTTTAGACCACTGAGCCATCTCTCCAGCCCAGGGCATGTTTTCTATTCACCTTTTGTTTTGCTTTTTGTTGTTTTCTGAGACAGTGTCTCGCCATGTTGTCTAGGTTCCTGATCCTGCTAAGAGCTGTGTGGCTTGAGATACTGAAACCCGTACTCTGGTTGTGTTTTTCTGGGTCTCTCTTGCCTGCTGGACCAGCGGCCCCACACAGGCTGGCACCTGCCATCAGATCCTTCCAGTGGCTGTGCCCACCTCCTCACCTCCAGCCTCAGCGAGTGATGGCAGCCTTCCGCCTGTGTGTTGCTTGCTGGACCTGCGTCCTCCCACCAGCCGTGTCAGAGCCAGTAGCCCGTGACACCTCCACTGTTGTCCTCATGCTCCCTAGTCCTGCGTGTTCTGGGTCATGCCTGTCTGGAGATGAGTCTGATGGAGATGAGTCAGATGACTCTGCTCACAGATTGCTGAGCAGAGGGTAGCAGGGGGCTCTGTGGGTCACTGCTGTGTTCCCTACAGTAGTGAGCTGCTTGGGGGGCGTTTTCCTTCTAATGGAAGGGGACCCAGCTCTCCTCCCAGATGCTTTTGTTGATTTCACCTCTGATAGTAGCTCAGGCTTGCGGTGTTCTTGGCCTGTTTGCCACGGTGCATGTTGGTGCCAGAGTCCTGTGTCAGGTCCCTCCCTCACCTCACCTTGGCCTCTGTCCCCTGCAGGTGACCAGCAATGGCAGCATTGGGAGGGACCCACCGGCGGAGACCCAACCCCAGAACCCACCACCCCAGCCGGCACCCAACGCCTGGCAGGTCATCAAAGGCGTGCTGTTCAGGTGAGCAGGCAGGCCTAGGTTTGTTCCCTGACAATGCTCAAATGAGGAAAGCAGGGAAGGACCGAAATCCACCCCACAGGTGATGATCCTGCTGTACAGGTGTCAGAAACTGTTGTCTTCTCAGTTCTGGAGACCACTTTCCTGGGCTTGGAGCTGGGCACTGCCTGGCCTTTCCTTTGGGTTCTCTGTCCTTGCTCATAATGACACCAGCTACAGTGGATTAGGATCTCATTTAGTCCTAAAGGTTTTATTTAAGAAAATTGTGAGCTAGGGATTGAATTTGGAGCCTCATGCATGCTAATCACATGCTCAGCCACTGAGCCATACCCTTAGCTTCTTAATGATGTTTATTAAAGGCCTGATCTCCAAAACAGTGACTGAGGCCTTTATTCTTTGAGCATAGGAGTTGGGGGAGGGGGACCTTTACCCAGAATTTATATATATAACATAACATTGGCCCTTTAACACTTTTTAGTTTTTTAAATGGTACTGGATATTAAACCCAGGGTCCTTTTTTTAATTTTTAATTTTTATTTTATTTATTTATTTGATTTGCATTTTTTTAGGAAAGAGTCTACAGGGTGTTCAGGGTCTCCCTACTAGATTAGACTCATAGTGATCAGCCTGTTTATAGCCTCCCAAGAGCTGGGATTACAGGCGTGTGCCACTGTACCCAGTCTCTTTGTTTTTGTTTTGAGACAGGATCTTACTGAGTTTCTTAGGCTGGGTCAATTTATTTATTTTTGGTGGGGATACTAGGAATCAAGCTCAGAATGTTGTACTTGCTGGACAGGTGCTTGTGCCACTGCTTCTGTTCTGGTTCTGTGACCCCTCTGATTCCCTGGTTCTGTGGCTAGGCTTAAAGTTACCATCCTTCTGTATCAGCCTCCATAGTGCAGGGATTGCAGGTGTGTTCCATCACACCTGGCTGTTTTTGTGACAGGAGTCTTGGTATGTAATTCACACTGGCCTTGAACTTGTGATCCTCTTGCCTTAGCAAGTACTAGGTTTTTGTTTTTTGTTTGTTTGTTTTTCTTGTTTTTATAGTCCTAGGGATGGAGCTCAGGGCCTTACCTATGCTAGGTGAGTACTCTATCACTGAGCTGCAGCCCAGTCCTGCAGTCTTTCCAGACTGACTCCCTGCACGTGGGCCTGTGGGTGTAAGGGCAGATGTGCTTTTGAGGCAGACTGTCCTATCCTCATCCACCTGGATGTGCACGTGCCTTTGTACTTGGTCCTAAGGGGATTGTGTAAGGGTGCTCAGAGATAGGCCTGATGTGGAGAGGACAGTGGGCGCCCACCTGCTTGTCCACAACCAAAGATCACCTCTCAATACAGGGGTGAGAGGTGGGGGGTGTGTAGCCTCAGGTAGCACAGAGAGCCTGGCTGCTCTGGGTCTCAACCCACCTCTTTTTTACAGCCTCAGTTGTTTCCACACAGATGGGACATTAGCTTAGGAGTCATCAGAACAATTCCATGAGAATCTGTCCCTGTGTGTGACCTGTACAGTTTCAGTCCATGTTGACCACAATTCCTTTTTATAGGTTGGTTTTGTTGTTCAGTGGTTTTTGTTTTTTTTTTTTTTTTTTTTTTGCGGAACTGGGGATTGAACTCAGACCCTTGCGCTTACCAGGCAAGCGCTTATTCTACTGAGCCATCTCCCTGGCCCTGAGTGGTTTTTTTTTTCTTTTTTTAAAGCCTGAAAACATAAACAGGTAAAAAGTAGCCCATGACCTCTGAAGTGGCTGAGAGACTTGGTGGGAAGGAAATCTCCGGGCTGTGTTCAGCCCCACAGCTGGGTGTTGTTCCCGCCTGTGTGCCCCAGCTCCAGCCACGGAGCCCTGGGCCTCTTTCCTTCCTCTTGGCCACATAATGCTGTGGGACTCTGACTTATGTCACTTTGAGTGGTTCTGCATAAAGATCAGTTTTGTTCTTCCTTGCATTTTACATGAGCAGCAACCTGTTTCACGCTGTCCTTCATGATTTTTTTCATTAGGCTGTATCTGAGAAATCTTTCTGCATCAGTATATGAGGCGCTTCCTTCAGAGAGAGTTTTAATACATCCTAGGCGAGGCTCATTTCCTCTCTTAAAACTAGCGGGCACCAGATGTCAGTTCAGGCGGATGCTCCCAGACCATCTTGCCTGCGGTCATTTTTTTTGTTGTTGTTTGTTTTCTGAGACAGGGTCTTGCTGTGTAGCTCAGGGTGGCATTGAACTTGTAGAGATCCTCCTGTCTTAGCCTCCTGAGTGCTGAGATTCTAGGCATGCGCCACCATGACTGTTTTGAAATCTTTTTATTTATTTATTTTTATTTTTATTTTTGGCGGAACTGGGGATTGAACTCAGACCCTTGCACTTGCTAGGGAAGTGCTTATTCCATTGAGCCATCTACCTGGCCCCATTTATTTTGTTTTGGAGACTGGGTCTTGCTAAATTGCCCAGACTGGCCGTAAACTGTGTAGATTTCTTGCCTTAGCTTCCTGAGTACGGGGATCGCAGGAGTGCACCATGAACTGACTGACTGTCCGTCTGTCAGCCTCCCCCTTTTTCTTTTGACTGAATCCAGGGCCTTAGGCATGCAAGGCAAGTGTTACACTGCTAAGACACATCCCTAGCCCCATTGGAGTTGTTCGACTAGATTTAGACTTACTTTCAGGGACCTGTGGAGTATCCGAAGCTTCTAGCAGATTGTGTGACAGTGGTTCCCGTGGATAGGGGTGGTGTCAAGGGCCTCGAGCAGTCCCTAAGACCATGTAGTGGTCCCTGGAGTAGAAGCATGGCAGCAGTTGGGCATAGAGAGGAGCAGGGCAGGCGGGAGTTCTTACATTTTTTGGAACTTATGAACATGTGAGGGGCTTACATCAATTTTGTTGCTTGCTCAGGTGGATTGAAAGTGTGAGGAAGGTCCTACCCCTTGCAGATGCCGGGGTTGTGGAAGGTACATGAGCCCTCCAACAAGGTGCATGAAACTGGGTACACGGGGCACCACATGTTCTCCCAAGGCAGGAGGCCAAGAGGGCTGGCCTCTGCCTTTTTTACGCAGGGACCCAGCACCCACAGGCTACCCATCAGCAGGACAAAGCTCTGGTCCCTGCTCCCACTTTCTCCCTAAGAAGTGCATTTTAAAAATGGGAGCTTCTCATGGAGTCAGCAGGGTCCCCAGGGAGCCCTGGTCCCAGAGCTTCACCAGCACTGCTCCAGGGATTCCTGGGAGGCAATAGATAGCTCAGGTGGGCCGTGGCCCCTGAGACCCCAGACCCCATGGCTCCATGGTTCCTGCAGGCAGAGGCAAGTCCCTGTGCCCAGTCCTGCCCCGATCAGGACAGGGGCCCTGTTGGGTGGCACCCTGCACATCAGCATCCTCCTGTAGTACTTTTCCATCCCATGGTGCTTGCTTTGCTCTGTGTGGTGCTGGAGCTCAAACATAGGGCCTCATGTGCACTAGGCAAGCACTCTGACATCAAGCCACACTCCCCAGGTCCCAGAGGTGTTTTTTTTTAAGTCCTTTCTATAATGACAGTAGCAATAATAGCTAATACCACTGAAGCACAGACTGGCACATACTAAGCCATTCTTCTGATACTTTGTGTGTGCTCACTCATGTGTGAAAAACTTTGTGTTTATAAGTGTCCCTATGAGAACAGATACTGTTATTACCCTATTTAAACCTCCGGGAAAACAGAAGTCTAGAAAGATTCAAAGTCTCCCCTAGGGCTGGGTATGGTGATGTACTCCAGTAATCCCAGCCCTCAGAAGGCTGAGCAGGAGGATCTTTGCAAGTTTGAGACCACCCTGGGCTACAAAGTGAGCTCAAGGCCAGCCTGAACTACATAGTGAGACCCTGTCTCAAAAAGGCCAAAAAAAAAAAGAGAGAGGGATAAAAGGTCTCTCCCAGGGCCATACGTTCATGTTGAATACCTCTCATCCAAAAATGTTGGAGGCCAGAAGGGTTTATGGTGCTGGCTTTTTGGGAGTTCTACAGTATTTACATTTACACAATAGATTTTGGGAATGAGACCTGAGCTAAACAAAGCCATGTATGTTCATATCTATGTTATACACCTTGTGACAAAATTTTGGGGGGTTGTTTTTAGACAAGGTCTGACTGTGTAGTACAGACCAGACTTGAGCTTGTTTTTTTTGTTTTTGTTTTTGTTTTTATTGGTACTGGGGAATTGAACTCGGGACCTTACACTTGCCAGTCAGGCATTTATGCCACTGAGTTATATCCCCGACCCCAGCCTTGAACTTGTGATCTTCCTGCCTCTGCCTCCCAAGGAGTGCAGGGATTTTATGTGCTGCCACACCTGCCTCTGGAAATAATTGTGGCTGAGGAGACAGCTCAGCAGCACAGTGCCTGTCTCAGAAGTGCAAGGTCCTGAGTTCAGTTCTTGGTACAGAAAGAAAGTGAGAAAAAAATTATGTTTCTTTTGTTTTCTTTTTGTTTTCCCCCCGAACCGGGGATTGAACTCAGGCCCTTGCGCTTGCCAGGGAAGCACTTATTCCACTGAGCCATCTCCCTGGCCCCTATGTGTTTCTTTTCTTTTTTTTTTTTTTTTAATTAATTAATTAATTAATTAATTTATTTATTTTGTGTGTGTGTGTGGCCAGCTCAGCCCACCAGGGAGCAGGGCTGGCTGGCATGTGGTGCTGGGGGATCAAACCGCGGTCCCTGTGCTTTGCTTAGCTTAGTTTGTTCTAAGTAGGTGCTTTAGACCACTGAGCCATCTCACCAGCCCTGTGTTTCTTTTTAATTACTTTTTTTTTTCAAACCTGCCGAGGGTCAATCTTGGGGCCTCATACATGCTAGGCAATTCCAGTCTGCATCACAGCCAGGTGTGAGCACACGGAGAACTTCTAGCCAATAAAATGTGAAATCAGTGTGTTACGTGGGTGTCTGGGAACTGCACAAAGAAAAGAGGCACGTCTCTTGATTTCTTATTTCCCTCTGCTGCGCCCACAGTCCCTGGGGAGTGCCGTCAGAGGGCCTGTGTTTTGACTGTGACCAATCATGTGAGGTCAGGTGTGGAATTTTCCACTTGCATCTTCATGTCAGTGGTCAGAAGTTTTTGGATGTTGGAGAATTTCATATTAGAGCTGCTTAATATGTATTTTGTAGCTTAGTGACTGGGTTCTTTTTTTTTTTTTAATATATTTGGTACAGGGTCTTACTGTGTAGCTTGGACTTGCAGTGATCCTCCTGTTTTCAACCTCCCCAGCGCTGGGATTACAGGCATGGGTCACCATGCCTGAACTCGGTGGCCAGGTCAGTGCTCCCAGGGGTGGAGCCAGCACGGCATGTGGCACAGGGGATCAAATGCTGGTCCCTGCGCTTGCCTAAGCAGGTGCTTAGTCTGTTGAGCTGTCTCGCTGGCCCAAGTGACTGGGCTCTTAACCTCTGTTTTTTTTTTTTTTTTTTTTTTTTTTTTTTTTTTTTTTTTTTTTTTTGTGTGTGTGTGTGTGTGTGTGTGTGTGTGTGGCCAGCTCAGCCCACCAGGGGGCGGGGCTGGCTGGCATGTGGTGCTGGGGGATCGAACCGCGGTCCCTGTGCTTTGCTAAGCTTGTTCTAAGTAGGTGCTTTAGACCACTGAGCCATCTCACCAGCCCCTCTGTGTCATTTTTCATTTTGAACAATACAGCTGCGTTCATCTGGGATATCTGCATTAGCACAGTTTCTTTCTCATGTGCCAGTCAGAGAGCAGGGTTCCTGTGACCCAGACTCCTTCTTGCTTTTCTTTAGCCTTGCTTGGTCTCGCCCCCCGGTCCTCATGGTCTGAGATGACTGCCAGAGATGCATTTATCACATTGATGTTCTAGGAAGAAGAACCAGAGAACGAAATCAAGAGACGCGCCTCTTTTCTTTGTGCAGTTCCCAGACACCCACGTAGCACGTTGATGTCACATTTTATTGGCTAGAAGTTCTCCGTGTGCTCACATTGGCTGTGATGCAGACTGGAATTGCAGTCTCATGCTGTGTGACCAAGATCCAGACTCCTAAAATTTAGAAATTTTCTTTCTGAGGAAGGGCAGATGGATATGGGGAAAACAATTGGCAATTTGGCACAATTTCTGGGGCAGAGGGTATTTGTTTTCGTTTGTTTTGTTTGCAGGGGGTGTTTTGTTCATTAAACTTCAAATAAGAAAAGTGGCAAGAAGTGAGAAAAATGACCCAAAGGTGACCTGCATGCCTGGGGTGGTCGCACAGGCATAGAATCCCAGTGCAGAGGGAGGAGGGACAGAGGAAGGAAGAGGCCTGTGGGTTCAAGTACAGCTTGGGCAACTTAGAGAGACCCTCAGTTAGAATAAGATGCTTTGGAAAAGGCTAGGGATGTAGCTCAGCGGTGGAGTGTCCCTGATCCCCAGTCTTATAAGAGGAAAAGGAAAGAAAAAAACCCTATGTGTCAGTAGTGATTTTTCTCAGAATGATCAGTGCATGCTGGTTTTATTATGCTCAGGGTATTTTGGTTGTGGTTGCACTGGGGACTGAACTCAGGCCCTTGCATGTACTAGGCCAGTAATCACCACTGGCTGTGTTGCTTCCCCTGTATTGGTGAGCCTCAATGAGCCGTGCAGTTCCTTCTGCCGGTAGAGTGGGTCTGCAAATGCCAGCCCGCTGTGACTGAAAGTAAGGACTAATCTGCTTCCCACCTGCTTCTACATTTGCTGTTGATGTGGAGTTTGAAAAGCTTGCTCTTCCTAAAGTTTTGTGCCTGTAAAGTACAGGAGTCCAGATTGTAAGGAAGATTCCTCTTCAGTTGGACACTCAGGGGACTGGGTCTGAGCTTCCGAGCATTTAACCCCCTGGGGCTACCAGGAGCTCCTGGAGAACCCAGGGTGGGTGCCCTGCATGACCATGCAGTGCCAGGCCCCGTGGCACCCAGTGGTGTCTGGGCTGTCTCCCTGGAGAGGCATAGTCTGGAGCATCTGTCATTCCCCGGCCCTGAGCGCTCTCTACACTGCGCATAGCAGCCCCAGGCTAGGCATCCATGAGTGAGCAGGAGCCCAGGCAGAGGCTGGCGCCAGGAAGGGCGAGGCCAGGCCTCATAGCTGCGCCTCCCTCCGCAGGATCTTCATCATCTGGGCCATCAGCAGCTGGTTCCGCAGAGGGCCGGCCCCTCAGGACCAAGCGGGCCCTGGAGGAGCCCCGCGCGTCGCCAGCCGCAACCTGTTCCCCAAAGACACTTTAATGGTAACTGCAGGTGGGAGATGCCCTTCAGGGCGGCGGAGGAGGAGGGATAAGTACCAAGAGAGGGGAGAGAGCAGGTCCTCATGCATGTCAGCTCTGGGAATGTCACCGTACCACCTGCAGCCTGTGCGTCTGGGTTTGGTGCTGGCCTGTGTAGGAGAATGGACAGCGGAGATCTCACCAGGTTGTTTAAAAACTTTGGCAGCAGGGTCCTTGGTGCTGCATGTGTGCTTGCTTTATGGGGTGCAGGGGGGGGGGTAGGGCAAGGAGCAGGCTCTCCCTTTCTGCTCTCCAAAGTCCTGTTTCACAGGACTTTTGGGAGGTGACTCCTGATTGGCCATTCACAGTCAGTGGCCTCAGGGCTCTGGATGAAGATGGACTGAGAAAGGAGAAAGTTCCTGGAGCCTGCCACCCCTTCTGGGTTGCTAGCTCCTGCTGTGCTTTACTCCCAAGCCTACAGAGCTCCAGGCCTGTGGATATCCCTCTAGGGAGGCCAGAGGCAGTAGACAGAGTAGTCCTCAGGGGAGGCCCTAAAGTCTAACCAACAGGTGCTCTTGACCCCAGGTGCTCTTTGCTCACTGTCTCAGGCTTAGGCCAGGACAGGTGCAGTAGCGGTGTGAGAGTTCATCCTATCCACTGTCCCCTGCCCTGTGATAACCATGCCTGTGAATGTGTGACTGTCCCAGCAACCCCTGCCCCTGCAATCTAGAGAGACCCTGCCCAGCAGCACTAAGCCCCTCCTCTCCCCCCAGAACCTGCACGTATACATCTCGGAGCACGAGCACTTTACAGATTTCAATGCCACCTCAGCGCTCTTCTGGGAGCAGCATGACCTGGTATATGGTGACTGGACCAGTGGCGAGAACTCCGATGGCTGCTACGAGCACTTTGCTGAGCTCGACATCCCGCAGGTGGGCCCTGCTGCACCCTGTCCTCTGCTTTTGGGCCCTGTGACAGCAAGCAGGGCCCTTCAGTCTCTGGTTGGGGTGGCCTAGGGTTTCTAGGGCAATGGATCCTGACTTTATCATTTGTTTATTTTATTTATTTATTATTACTTTTTTTTTTTTTTTTTGGCAGACCCGGGGATTGAACTCAGGTCCTTGAGCTTGCCAGGGAAGCGCTTATCCCACTGAGCCATCTCCCCAGCCCCTTTATTTACTTTTTTGAGGCAGGATCTTACTGTATGGTTCATCCTGGCCTTGAATTTACCACAATCCTGTCTCAGCCTCCTAGGTGCTGGGATTACGGATGTGTGCTACCACGCACAGCTCCGTTCTGACTTCAGCCTAGGGGATGGCTGCTGATAGCCCAGAGGGCCTGGGCATCCTCAGTTTGGCAGGCAGCCCTTTTTCCAAATAACATAAATGACTGGCCCTAGTGGCACACTTCTGTAATCGCAGCACTTGGGAGGCTGAGGCAGGAAGATTGCTGCGAGTTCAAGGCCTTCCTGGACTACAAAGTAAGTTTAAGGCTAGCCTGAACTGCATAGTGAAATCCTGTCTCAGAAAGAAAAAACATAAATGTTGATTAAGTTTTTGCTGTTGGCGCAGGGCACTAGGCCAGATCGGCTCATGGAAACTTTCCAGCATTCCATGAAGGAGGAAATATATCTGCAGATAGACGGGCATAGATGGGTAAACTGACGTACAGAGCAGCACGGTGACTTTTCAAAGGCTGCCCAGGGAGTGACTGACCTCAGGCTCTCTGGCTGTGGACTCTGACAGCCAGGGCTCATACCTTGCCTACTCTTCCTGACGCCTTCCCTGACCCGTGGGCCTGGTTAGGTGCCGCCTCTGGGTCCTTCCCATCCCAGCCTTGTCTGTCCTGTGAGCTCAATCGGTCTTCCTCCCTGTGAGACTGTGACATCGGCGAGGGTGGGTTGGCCACCTCAGTTATTTGTGTATTATTGTCAGTCCCTACCAGGGGCCAGGTACAGAATTGGTGAATGCTGATGACCTTTCCTCAGGGCCTCGCAGTGCTGAGCCTGCCTTTCTTTCTGCCCACCTCTGGGAGGGTGGTGGCATCTGCCCTGTCTGTCTGGGTAGCTGGGAGGGTGTGGACACTACTCTGAGGCAGGTGACAGCACCTGTTGAGTTGGCAGCTCAGGCCTTGCCCGATGCCCAAGGAAGGCTGGGGACTGGCCAGCCCATCCGGAGAGCTGATCCTGAGGACTTTGGTCTCACCCCTTGAAGCTCCATTTCTCGGTCAGGGTGTAGTGAATGGCAGGGCGTGGTGTGGTTCATGAACCTGAGCACTGCTGGAAGGACAGAGGGGGCTCAGATCTGGTTTTCACCTTCTAACCAGTGATCCTTGGCAGCTTGCCTCCCTACCAAGCCTCACTGTTCCCCTCTATACGCAGTGAGAGTAGTCCCCTGCCTGGGAGGCTGGGGCAGACTCATGGCACAGCATGGGAGAAGCAGCAGTGTAGAAGCTGGGGTCAAGGCCTATGGACTGGGTCCCACTTTGTCCCCCAAGACCCTATGGTGTGGGCCCAAGTTGACGCCTCATCTGCACCCTGGATGTGACCCACACACTACATGTGGCTGATGTGGAGCAGCATGGAACTTGTTGGGGTAGGAGGATGGTGACTGTGTCCCTGGAGCAGGGGGCACATGTGAGTTTCTATGGGTCAGCCTCATCTTCCTGTCTAGTGAGTGACACTAGCAGTGGTGACAGCCCTTGCTGTGTCCCTCAGGCACAATGTTGGTGCTCTGCTGGGGCCTCAGTGCAGTGCTTTCTGGTTAGTGCTTGGTGATTTTCATCCCCTGGATGGCTGAAGCCAGGGAGAAAGCCTGAGCCCATCTAGCCAGCAGGCTCTGGGCAAGACCAGAATCCAGCCCAAGTCCGCCTGACTACAGCGCCCATCTCTTTCTGCTCACTGCATGTCCCATTCCAGGCACTCTGGACAGCCACAGGTGGGGTTAGTGCCGATCCTCAGGTTCTGCCTGTCCTCCCTGGTGGCTGCCTGCCCATTTCTCTGTCTGTCCCTTGCAGAGTGTCCAGCAGAATGGCTCCATCTACATACATGTCTACTTCACCAAGAGTGGCTTCCACCCAGACCCCCGGCAGAAGGCCCTGTACCGCCGGCTTGCCACAGTGCACATGTCCCGCAGTAAGTCACTCCCTGCGACTGGGCCCCACCATTCTATGAGTCCCAAATCCTCCATGAGCAGGTGACACCTGTCACTCTCTCTAACTGCATTTGTGTCCATCAAGCCTGAATGAGTGGGAGCTACAGGGTCATGAGCCTTGAGAGTCTCTTTGTACCCATGTTTTGTGGGCTGGTGCTCAGCTCCAGGAGGCCTGTGCAGTGGCCTTGGGTTCCTGGTTCTTGCACCCCTGTCTGAGCTGTGCCCTTCCTTGACATATTTGTAAAATCTCTCATTGTGCAAAGCCTGTGTTAGGTCAGGAACCTGCCCCGTCTCCCCACTCTCTACACTGCTGCTCTCCAGGTCCCATGGCTGTTCACCACACTCTTGTTGCCACGTCGTCCTGCTGGTTCTTGGGAGACGGGATTTTGCTAGGTAGTCCACACTGGCCTCATTCTCGGCGCTCCTCCTGCGTCAGCCTCCTGAGTGCTGGGATAACAAATGTGCACTGCCATTCCTGGCTGGGCCTTGGGTTTTGGATGTTATTTACTGACTTTCTACTCTGCAAGAGGAAATCCCAATAGAGAAATAGAATTTTAATTAGTTTAATACTCAGTGTTTAAATGCACAGTGCTGGGGATCAGACTTGGCGCCCTATACTCTCCCACGGAGCTATGCTTTCAACCCTTTAGGGAAGTGGCCAGAAGCACACAGTGACTGGTTATTTGGTTATATTTTATTTTTATGCCTAACTTCTTATTTTTCAAGAAGTTAATAATTGTCTTTCTACTTGCCTGGATCCTTGTGACATGTCTTTTTTTTTTTTTTACCTTTTTGGTACTGGAGTTGAATCTAAGGCCTTTGTCCTGAGCTACATTTTTTTCTTTTATTTTGAGACAGGGTCTCCATAGATTGCCCACGCTGGGCTCACACTCGCAGTCCTCCTGCTCAGAGTGCTGGATTACATGATGTGCCACTGTGCTCAGCTTTTGTGACACCGCTATGAATCCATGGCTGCCTTAGAAGACCCATACAGTAGCCCCAGAGAATGGCTTCCTCCAAAAGCCCCCAGTCTCCTAACATGAGTATTATGGCTTCCACCTGGCTACTATTTTGTTGAACATTGTTCCCAGCTTTCCTTTGGACTTGATTAGACCCATCTGGCTGTTTCTGTGACATGTCATTCTGTTTATGCACATTAGGTCTTCTCTCCCTGCTTCTTTTGGTATAGAAATATCCTAAAAGATAGTCTTTTTTTTTTTTTTTTTTTTTTT